ATGGTCATTTACATCTGTGATTTGCAGCTCGCCTTGAAAAAACTGCACCGGGTTTTCCAGTACCAGTTGGAAATGCACCACACAGGGTTCTGTCGCCCCGCACAGCCCCTCCCGGTCTAGCTGTTCCCACAGCAGCAAATTGCCGGTCTTTACATCCAGCTGCAAGAGCTGTTTGTTGCCTTTGTAATGGATTCTCGCGCCTCGAGTGGCCAGTTCCCCCACCCTCATCCCCAGATCTTCTGCCAGGTTGGCCACCAGGTAGCCACTTTCTGTTTCCTCTGGCATCGAATACCTAATTGCCTCAGAACCAGCCTCCCTCAAAATCAACAACATAACAAGCAAAATGACTTGCCTTTTTTGCAGCGTTCTTGCTAGCACAGTCTCCATTGTTCAGATCCTGTCCAGAAGCTTCCGTTTCTTCACCTCAGTGTTCAGTCCACCCAGATGGTTTGTTAAGTGATAGTGAATCCAGTCTGGCCAACTGTCCGGCATATAGAACGGTGCCTTCTTTGACGAAATGTGCCCTAGATGCTCTCTAAAATGCTTCCTTCTTTTAGGGAGCATTCAAAATTCTGATTGCCAGCACAATGGCTTCCTTCGTATTTACGGAGCAGTTCTTCACATTCTTATCCTGCAGCGCCACCACGCGTCTTCATTTACTATTGCATAGTGCTTACCATTTCGCTTTACCCTACAGGCATCCCTAACACTGTACTCTTACTAATATCCTTCAATTCACAGCAGCACCGTAAATGGTAACTCCAACTCTTACTGATTGTGATATCTAAATATATGTTTCCTGAGTCAATTTTCAGTGAAAGAATACTTTTGAGAATGATCCAAAGTTATGTTAATCTCCAAAATTACTATTACTGAATATATTAAAAGCTTTATTTTGTTGGTTTACAATTTCATAGTATTCAAAAAATGCTATGTGAAAAATTTTCAAGTTTTAGAAAAGTTAGGTTTATTTTGAAGCATAACATCTAGAAAAGTGTACAAATAATTCTACAACTCTCCAGTTGCTCAGATTGCCAGATAACTGCTTATCAGAACCTAGACTAAAATTAGAGTACTACTAAAGTGCAAAAAGTCCCCTCCTGACATTATCTGATGCCTCTTAAAAATAAGCACTGTGCTGAGTTCTTTTTTATGACATTTTCCTTATGCTTTTGAAAACTTTTTTCAAGTAGAATTATAGAATATTATTGTGCTGTGTCTGTCTTTTTCCACTCCATATTATGTTAGGAAAGTGATCTCTGGCATGTTCTCCTAATTTGTTTCATTATCACATCCTTGTTTTAATGTGTTTAACCATGATTTTAAAGTATTTTCT